AAATTCTAGGCAGGAAGGTGACTCATGTGAATATGTATGACCACAAATACAAACGAAAGAAGAAAAACCCCGAAGGAGAACAAATTGTTAATGTGTAATTCAATCTGGATATTAGACTCATTTAAGTTCCTTTTACCTTCTTTTAATGATCCTAAAGCAAGAAAACAATTTACTTGAATTGACGGATTTTTCAAAGATAGGAAGAGGTATTAGGTGGTCCTTCATTTTTAGTAGTAGGAAAATTCATAACTAATTACCATTATAAATTCTGCTTCACATCCTTCATGATTCAATACATAGTAATCCATATTCTGATACATATTCTTCAGTCACTAATATAAAAATCTCAATGGTTTGATTGACAGTTGGTGGTTTCATTACTTGGTCCAGTTGCATTATCTTAGATCCAACTCCCTGCAGTTTCATTGTTTTTGGCATTAAACCTCTTATACCCTTCAGCCGATGCATTTCATTCTTGTTTATATGTTATGCTCACAGCTAAGAGGTCCTAAAAGTTGGGAATATTAAATTAAATTAGTTTAACTCTTAATATACCAACAAGTTTATATTCTTCTGATTGGGAACCTTTTTAACAATCACCAATATTCATTAATATGACTTTTGCACCTCTTGTGTGGATTTATACCAAGAATCTTGCCATGCTCTTTTAAATGGCCTTTGGTGTAGGTAACCATAAGATGCTTATCTTCTCCTTCATATTTATATGTTGATTTGTTGATTGTTGGATAGTTTTCCTCCTAATTCAGAGTTTCAGACATAGAGGTTTCTGTCCATTATATATATGTACTTACTGGGTGGAAGGCACACAATTGGATATACATGCATCAATAGTTTAATATTCTTGTTTTCTTGTCATTTCATTCCATCAGAGATTTGGTTTGGTTGGATTGCTAAGAATTTAATGGATACATGTTCAATTAATTGTTTGTAATAATTTGTGTTTTAATATCTTTGCATGCTGTTTGCAAGTTGCTGATACCTTTTACGAGAGATCAGAGATATTTGTTTTTTTTTTTTGTTTCACTTTTTTAAACATTTACAGGACCTAATAGCTTTAATATCCTCGAAGGCCACTCAAAGGCGACGATGTTTTTGATATTTAACAATGCAGCACAGGGCATACTTTCATCATTCTTCTTCAAATATGCCGGTATATTGCTATGTGCTTTTTGTCGTTCACTTACTGCTAAGTACTTTTTTTTCTTTTGCAAATATTTGCTGTGTGTTTTCCCCTTTTTTCCAGACTTAACCTTACTGTGCTAAGGGTGCTTGCAGACACAATCTTGAAGAAGTATTCATCTACTGTTGCCACAACTTTTACTGGCATCGCATCTGCTGCATTATTTGGTCATACATTGACCATGAACTTCATCTTGGGGTTATCCATAGTTTTTATATCTATGCACCAGGTATTTACTAGGCTTAGGTTTTAAATTTATTCCACGTGTTTGTATCTTTGAAAATCTTGACACATTTTCTGTCAGTTCTTCTCTCCGATTGCGAAAGTAAAAGATGAGACACCACTTAGAAAATTAGAGATGATGGAAGATCAACATCCAAGGTACATCCTTTCAATTTTTTATTTCTTTGACCTTTTCTGTCTCAGAAGTGATCTTGACAACAACAGTACCACTCGAGAGATCCTAATCACCTATTTATTTGATTTTATCATTTTTTTAATATGTTTCTCATTGGAAATGGTCTTAATATATTTTATTAACAAGTTGGTCCAACCACAAAGTTATTATTGGAAATAACTTCACTTTGCAGTTTAAAGATTCGGTCTCAGACTTTGAATTGCTTTTTAATAAAGAAATATCAGATTTTGAACATACTAATTTACATTTGTTTACTGATAAAGCACCTTTTCAAAATTCAAACTACTATAAATTACTAATTTTCTTGTCTCTGTTTTTAAGGTCAAAGGAAGCTTCTTTCATAGACATGACTGCTGGTGCTGCTGAAGATGTAAGACAATTGTACATGTAGCACAATTGGTTAATTATGAATTGGCAAATCCTTATGCATGATATCTGCTTTCTTTCAGGCCAGCCACCACATTGGACATGATGAGAGACAGCCTCTCTTGCCCATTTGATGTCATGTTTGAGGCATCACTCCGATCCTTATAATACTTAACCATATGATAATTAAGGTGTGTTTATTAAAACTAAGATGCATATTAATGTGATAATAATAGCGAAGCGTTTTGATAAGGATTAATATTAATTGAACACCATTGGTGCAGTTCATTCATCTTATCTTATTAAATTGCTTTTAGCTATGTAGATTGTGAATATGGATGTGTAGAGCTAAGTACTTATAAGTACAGCATAATTTTTAAGTGAACTTTGTTTTGTACAAAAATACTGTTTGGATGGGAGCCATATCCTGGGCTAGTAACTTGGTAGTAAAAGGGTCAAAGTTATATTTAATATGGTACATATTCATTCTTATGAATTTCTTATATTCGTCTATGAACATGTTATGAATTTAAGCAGCACATATACTGTGTCGCTTATGTATTTTGTGCATGTGAGACAGGTTAATGTACAATGTCTTTATAAAGTGCTTTTATAAATTCATCTTTCTGCCATAGGAGTCAGGGTATGTTATATAATATTTTCTAAGTATACTAATTATAACATCTCCCATCAAATGTGTTAGTTGACACCAAAAAAAAGAAAGGATGAGATGACGTTCTGCTGAGTTTGTTGTCCCTGCTGCCAAGGCACCTAAACTAATGCCTAGGCTTTAAGCTGAATCCATTGTTTTGGGGTTTCCTAGGTTAGTTTTTAATTTAGTAGGCAAAAATTGAAGGACGAACAAATCAGGGGTCTTAACAGATATACTTTGGTTGTCCATGGATGAGGTGGGTGGTTCTAGTGTTGAAAGACAGGAAACAACCTTTGGAAATGAATAGTGCAAATGGATTGAAAGTTTTGCATAATGAGAGCTTAGTGTATTTTGTTCAGATAAGTTAATTCTTCTTCTTTTTTATATCTTGTGCTTTCTATCTGACACCCAGCTTAGGTATAACTTGGCAATTCATTTGCACAGGTATTCTCTTATATGGATAGAGTTGAAAATGTTGCTAGCATATAATAGTGTAGGCACATTTAGCATGAGATGACATTTCACCAGAATTAATGCTTAATTCTAGTAAAAAACAGTAGAATCAAGCACAACTTGGCAAAAGAAAAACTTATTTTAAAGTTGAATGATCATGTGAATCGAAAAATTAAGTATTGTTTGCTTTGTTAAATTTCAGCAGAATCAAGCTGAACACTTACTGCGCTCATTGTGGCTTGCATCTATACTAAAAACTCAGTTGATACTTGGATTAAATTTGGAGATGCTCAGCATATTCACTTTGCAGTGGCTTTTTGTAACAGGTATACTCGGAGAGTTCTTTTTTATTGACCTATAGAACATAGACGAGCTACCGAGTGGATAAAAAAAATACAAATGAGCTACCAAGAATAGTTTTTTTTTGGCTTCTGTTGGAAAATTTTATTGTGATCTGATGAACAAAGTCAGCAGTCATAGCTTATAATTGTGGAGGATACAAAATGAAGAAACTCGAGCAGGTTGATCAAACATCAGTCATGATATTCAAAAAATAGACCTCTCCTAGCAACATATTGTTATTTCAGCTATGTTTACGTGAAAATATGGAAGCACATTTCTATATTCTTTTAATGGATTAATTACTGCAGTTACATTGATATATGTCTTGTGTTCTGCTCATGGTCTTCACATCTTTCTTGCTGGTTCGTGGATCTACAAGGTTTTCAATGGAAATCAGAAGTTGGAACCACTACATCGCCTTAAAATTACTTGAGAAAATATTGGTTTTCTTGCTCCAGTGTGTAACAGAAGCAATGGTCCTGACTCTGTTTCTGCCATGCATTTATTGCCTTCTTTGGAAGTCAGCATGCTGTGAAATGAACTTTTCTGCACTCGGTAGTGATTTCTAAAAGCCTACCTCAAATGTACATTACATTTTAGCTCAATCATTTCTTTCTTCTCCCATTTGCTAAACCTTATTCTTTAGTCTATCTTTTTTATTTCTTAACATGAGATGGGAATCTGAGCAGTGACTGATATTGGATGTCCTAATTACAACCTTGTGTGTTGGATGAATCTTCGTATTGATGTTTCACAGTAACAACTCTAATTGAATACTTGAAGCGCTCCTTCTTTGATGCAAGTATAATTATGTTAAGAGCGGGTTCTCAATTTCTGTGTATATCGATCGGTACGGGTGGTAGTATCGATCCAAGAGGATAGTATGCGGACCATCCCCTATCGAGCAGTACCAGTGTTATGATTGGTATCGAGACATATTGATCGATACTGAGGCATACCGATCAGCACATCTTGACGAGATAGACGAAAGTATTTTTAAGGTTTTAGGGCATACCGATCAGCACATCTTGACGAGATAGACGAAAATATTTTTAAGGTTTTAGGGTGTACATAGGGCGTATCGACGATATATATCAATATGTAGTTATGGTTAAGAGAATTATAAATATTAAAATTCTAGTTAAGAGAATTATAAATAAAGTTAACCAAACTTTGAGTCAGAATATATATATATATATATATATATATATATATATATATATATATATATATATATATATATATATATATATATATTCACACACACACAAAGCCTATGTAATTTCGTCAAATTCTAGTATATGAGTTCTCTCTACTGAACCTTATATCTAATGAGTTTTTATTTGGATACATCACCGAAATAAATTATTGCAAAATTTTACTAGTGTTTTCTATAAATCTTTTTTACAAAAGTAGTTTCATATGTAAAAAACTATTTCATTTTAATTCAGTATAAGTGATCCTTTATAGAACTTGTTTTCCTTCAACTACTCATCAGCAGAATCATCTAAGGCCTCAATATCATCCTCATTCCTAAATATCAATATCAATATCATATAAAAGCCTTATCTAAGCAATACATTTGGCAGTGGGATAAATGGCAGCTCATAAATTGTTTGGATCACACAACTCAGATGCTACCATAAGCATTACTAATTGCACACTAAGACTTGTTAAAAAGGTAATTTCTATCTTGTTAAATCATGCTAAGAGAGGAAATAATTCCTCAAGCCAATACTTCTTTTTTTTTTCATTTGTGTGAAACACAATTTTATTTCTGAACAGTTATATCTGTTCTATGCAGCAGCAGAAGAGGATTTAGTTAAGATGAAAGATTTAAGTGATTGGCAAACATGAAAGAGAAGAGAAAAAAAAAAAAAAAGAGTATAGAACAATCATGTGGCAAATTCAAACATAAAGTTCATCTTCAATTCAGCTTGGTGGGTGCAGGTACAAAAGCTCAAGGATGACAAATCATGGCAGCGAGAGTTGGACAGCAATCTTCCTAAGTTTCTTGACCACAGAGGTCATGTCTGGCCTGTGATCAGCTTCATACTCCACACACTCAGCTGCCACTTGTGCAAACTGCAGAGAATGAAACCAGTCAAACTGATACCTCCTGTAGGAAGTTCATAATCTAGTTCAACTTTTCTTGAGAAAGAACTAAATCTCACTGATGACACCTACAAAGCAGTAGATCAATTGAAACAACCAAGAGAAAAAGAAAATGCAGCTTAAGGTATCGGTCAGTGATGTTTGCATACTATCAGATGGGATAATCTATTGACTTTGTTGAGACTAAATCACTGATCTAAAATATATAATCAATTTTCTTGTGATATACTTCAAATTATTATATACTAACTTAAGTCTTTTCTCACTTTTGACTACAAGAGAGAAGCTAATTTATAGTGCAATTGAATGTTGTTTAATGAATCTAACCAATATAAAAGCATGACAGGACACACATGGATATATATTATACCTGTGCAGCTGCTGCAGGTGGATAGAGTCCCTTCAACCTTGGATCAACACATTGTTTGACCTTATTCTTGTCACCCAACCTTGGAGTTGCCTACATTGAAGGGAAAAAAATTAGCACTTATCAAATAAGCTAAACAAACTTTTGAAGCCTTCAACAGAAGAAGGACAAAGTTCAATGTGCATCTATTTTTCTAAATGGCAAACTGAGGTTTTAGGTTGCAACTTGTAAAGAAAGACTACTGTGAGGCTAAAATAAGCAAGATTAGTGACCATCTGAGGAGGAAGAGAATGGCATGCTAATTGTCTCTCCAAGTTATGTATGTAGTAAAGAAGTTGCTCATTTATGGTTTTGGAGAAAAGAATGATGACACACCATTGGTATTCTTTCTTTGTTGTGACATATTGGCAATGCTATTATATGGATGCAGGAAGCAAGAAGAACATGTCAAATGAGAAGAAGAAGGGGAGGGGGGAGGGATGCAAGACAAAGAAATCACCCATGTTACAAGGCTCTGCTGACCGCGAGGCATGGAATGATCCACCGGCTTCCTCCCTGTTAGAAGCTCTAAAAGCACAACTCCAAAACTGTAAACATCACTCTTCTGGGTCAGTTCACCAGTCATTGCATACCTGCATCAACATCGAACATTACCATTTCATATGGTTTTTACCAGCAGGACAAACAAGCTCCTAAAGAGTTATCATCTTCTTCAGAAATGAGGATGGAGAAATCAGCATTTGTTAGTCTTCAAAACTCTTATGATGGATCATATTATGTATCAGAATCATTAAGATCATATCTTCCTTTTTGGTTTGATGGTCATTAAGCACTAATACATCACAAGCCAAATTCAATACATGTCATCCAACCTAAGTTTTGATGCAGTAATTGCTCTGAACAATTCACTTGTCATCACCCCAACCTAAAGAGAAGGATTAGAGTTTCTACCAGCACAAGGTTAAGGAAAGGAAGAGACTCAAATTCCATGGAAGAACCAAATGAAAGATTTTGTGCTATTACTCAACATTCTCATGCCGAAAAGGATGCAAAAATCTCCTATAAACTTCTTCAGAAAGAAATTTGAATACTAACATCTATCCAGGATCATCAGCTCTTCATGGTGAGAGAGGCTGGTGGTTTCTCTAGTGTTGAATTTTATTAAGATTATCTATCAAAAATCATAAAGATCACCAATCTGTAGACAAATTATTTGACAACAAAGCTGTCTTCCATCTCCACTATCAGCCAAAGTCAATACTTGTCATCCCACCTAAGATCTGATGCATCGATTGTTCTAAATGTCTCACCTGTCATCATCTAATATCTAAAGAACAAGAGCATAGAATTTCTACATTCACAAGATTAAAGCAAGGAAGATAGCCAAATTCCAAGGAAGAACCAAATGAAAGAGCTTTTATGTTATTACTCCTATGCTTTTTACTAGGAGAACAAGTCCAATTTTATTGTCTATCAGAATCATTAAGATCACCATAAAGCCAAATTCAATACATATCATCCCACCTACGTTTTGATGCATTGATCACTACAAAAAAATTCACCTTCCTTCATCTATATCATGATATCAAAGCAAGGAAGATAGTATAACTCCATGGGAGGAAGAACCAAAACGAAAGAGATTTTTGAGCTATTACTCAGGAGCATGGTAGCCAAAGGTTCCCAAAACCCGCGAAGAGAGAAGGCGTGTAGCCATATCAGGAGCCTGGTTTAGCAGATCGAAGTCTGCAATCTTTGCTCTGCAGTCATCAAATATGAGGATGTTGCTGGATCTGATGTTCCTATGCACAACAGGTGGCTGAACCAGCTCATGGAGATACTCCAATCCCTTTGCTGCATCAATCGCAATCCGCACTCTCTGTTCCCACCCAAGAAAAGGCCTCTGTTGTGTTCCCAGAGCACCCCTCCTTCCTGCAACATGGAATCATGCGAATGAGAGGAGGAGGAGGAAGAAGAAGAAGGTGCAGCCAAAGCTTCCAACTCATGCAAATGAGAGGAGGAGGAAGAAGAAGATGCCGACCGTGCAAGATATCTTGCAGAGATCCCATGGCGGCAAACTCATAAGCCAGCAGCCGCAGATTTCCCTCCACATAATACCCCAACAGCTGTACAAAATTCCTGTGCTTCAATCTCGATGCAAATGAGAGCTGACATCGAGAGATGAAGTGCATGGTAAGAACACAACATAGACAAGTTTGAATCTTTCATACGACGATGAAGATTCAAACTCCGATACTATTGTATCTCAATTTATATTGTTAATCATTGCAGCAAATCACCTGCGACATGAAACCAGAATTGGTCTCATGTTTCTGTGGCATGTCAAGCTTTTTGATTGCAATTTCTTTGCCGTTTAGAACTGCATAGTAGACTCTCGCATGTGATCCTTCCCCAACCATTGATCTTAACCCAAAATTGTCAGTGTTCTCCATCAGTTCATGCAAAGATAGTTCAGGCACAGCAGCAATAGGAGTCGGAGGATGGTCTTCGAGTTCACTACTTCTCGGCGTAGAAGATGCCTCTACAGAGTCTTCTGTGCCTGAAGAAAATTAAGACAAGAGAAAAGGATCAGTAGTACGATGATTCCATGAAGAGAAGGAATACAAATGCATTTGGTATGCACCAAATTGGTACTTATCGATCCGATCAAGAGCTGACATCAAACCATATAATTCATCTTATTTTTGGCTGTTATTCGATTGTAGAATTCAGAGTGATACCGTATCGGTCAGTATTAGTGTGCCAACACTTGATACATATCGATCCTTAGAAAAAAGACTAAAAAATATTATAAAAATTAGAAAAGATTACCCGATATAGAGCTTGTATTATCCGATACTATACCAACCGTATCGGGATACGTATACCCGAGTCCATAAACAGGTATATATTGCTCGTACTGTGCCGTACGAGGCGGTGTTGCAAACCTTGCATACCGTATACTGATCTGATACGATCCAAAAACATTGTTTTTTTTTTATACATCATATTCTTAATTCTGGGGCCAAATTAATCTCTAATTCAGCTATTATTGGTAGCTTAAACTCTTTAATCTTTCCTATAAATTAATAATGTCATTAAAGTGATCTAAGAGATTTGAAGAGAGATTAAATATATAAGAAAGGAATCAAAGACAGCAAGAACGAGAAGAACCACAGCATCAAGCCGGCACTAAATTATACTCAACATCAGATTCGAAGTCCACAGAAATCAACATACCATCATCATCATCCTTTTTCTTCTTCTGCTGCTTCGGTTCTTCCTGGAACTCGTTCTCGGTGTGAGGAAGAGAGTCCTTCTTCCTCGTGTTTCTGGCACACGAAAACCACCTGTAGATCCTTGTACTCCTCCTCTCTCTCCTGTATCTCTCCTTCAAGTTCCCAACAAGAGAACGCAAGGCACGAACGGGCACATGGATCTGCAACGAGTCCAACATCAGTCAAATCCATCACACAAAATTCTACCGACTCACCGAACAAATTACAGAAAAGGAAATCAAAGGCATCATAATGAGAAGGAAAGAGAAAAAGGCACCACCTTCAAACCGTATTTTTTGAGGCCCTCCATTGAAGTACAGGAAAGCAGCAAAGAAGAGACACCGAGTTGATGATGAGATATGTAAAGATCGGCGAAACGAGAAGACATCAACAGGGAGCAGCTGTTTGATCCAACTTCCGGAACGATATCGACCGCGATTGAGGGAAAGATATGTAGAATCTTACCAGAATCCAAACATCCCCAACACCTGCTGACTGTTCACGTAGATATGGCCAACTCAGCTTCGGTTCTCTGATATTGTATTCTCCGAATCTCGATTAACCCAATCCTTTATACGGTTTCGACTATTTAGAATTATATTAAGCTTATGAACTTAATGTCATTTCATCCTTTTCTTCTTTGTCATACATTTCTTTAATGTTTTTTTTGTTTCTTTCTTTCTTTGGTGCTCATTTTTGTTTAGTAACTGTGATTAATAGCAAGAACTCACTAATCAGAAGTTGATCCTAATGCCTCCTCTACGAGCATATGCTGTAGGAGTAACTCGAATTGTCATGACATGAGTTGTAGTAAGGTTCAAGGATCGAGTTCTAACCTCACCCCTTGTCATTTACCAAAAACCAACCAACCAAAAAAGGGATTAGAGGATTGCCATTACGATTACCGAGGCTTAACTCAAGACTCCATTCATAGTATTTGGTTTGGTATTACTGTCGGCATATGAGGCATGATGTTTATGTATATTGTCATTAAGGTTCGTCGTACTGTACCGTACTGTATATGTATGTTTATGTATTACTGTCGGCATATGAGGTATGATGTTTATGTATGTTTATATATTACTCTATTCATTAAGGTTCACCGTACCGTACTGTACCGGTGTTTCGACTCGGGCTTGGTACGATACGATATCAGTGTACCTAACAATTTTATTTTTTTTCATTACTGTAGCATTGTAGTACTGCTACAATACAGTACTATAGTACTGTAGCAGTGCTACAATATAATACTGTAACACTATAGTGGTATCGGACGGTCTACGTATCGGTATGCCATCAGATCGGTACGTACCGCTTGTACCGGACGGTACCATTCGGTACTGTATATCTTGGTCACTATGACATTAAGGTTTCCGAGGTTTAACCAAAGCGTTAGGTGTTAATTCCATGCATGACTTCAAGAATTGTAACATGAGAGGCTGTCAATCTTGCTTACAGACAAAGAAATGCATGGTGTTCTTAGCCTCAGGAGAACCACCTCCAGTTAGGGTTTGTGTGGATGTATCCTGCATCAGTTCCTGGACTCGGTTGTTTGAATAGTTTTGGGCCCCATTGCCCATAAATAGATGTGAGTTGATGGAGTTCTGAAATGTGGCAATTGACAATGAAAATGACTTTGCACAACAGCTATCACAGCAACATCAACTCCAAGGAGAAAAAGAATTGGAAACCCATTTGTAATGTGGAAACCATTATTCCTTCAACTCAAAAATGGATATAATCCCTGTCTGCAATCTTCTGATATATTAGTCTTACATTTAGCTCTGTGGCTATTCTTCCAAAATAGAACAACTAAAATATCTCTTCTACTAATAGTTTGATCGAGAAGTTCATGAGAAATGCCCTGCTGATGAGTTGTGATATAAATCAATGGTCGAGCTTCCTCGAGCACAAAATTGTTATAGCATCCTCCAGCGATGGTAAAAGAAAGTTAGTGTCAAGGTGACTGCAACATAAACAAGGCATAAGGTTACCTCTTGATTCCAATTATCATCTGCTACATACACTGACAAGCTTGTGATGGAATACTAAATTAGCTGTTGCAGCTCTGAAACTTTTATCTGGGAATATATATTTGTTTCAGCCACATTGCAGTTGCCTCCAATATTTCAATCTTTTCAAACAAGGATCTGCTGAGAAAGAACATAGTTTATGTTAAAATGGTGGTGCAGCTCACATGTGAAGTATATACACAAGTAAATGGAATTCTTGTCAATTGTACTTTCACAGAGAAATTGTAGGGCAAACTCACGAGTAAGCAAGCAAGAGTTTGGTTTTAGTCTGGGCTTCCATTGCTTTAGTCTTGATATGCTCTGTTTGGAGAATCAACATCTGGCTGCTTTTGTATACTTTTTGGTGTAGTAATGTTCCTTGAGAATATATCATCTAGTCAACAATCCTAAGAGCACCTATGTATTTATTGCCTACTAAGATTGCATCTTGTCCTCTGATTACAGTGCAGATTCTACAATAAAATAGAAGCCAAAGGAATATAATCCTTCTGTGGATGCTGGTTTTGATAGTTATAACAGCAAGTCCAATAAAATGCTATCTCAGCATATCAGCTTGGGATATCCCAAGCATCTCATAGCTAGGGTTTGCACATCATGACTAGCTGTTGATTGCTGCAGGAAAAAATGAGAACATTACTCATTGTAGGAAGCTAAGAAAACTCGTAAACCAGCTTTTTGATAGCTAAATACCTGGAATAATCTGATATAACACTTCCTAGGCTAGTTAAAGGTTTCTATGACAGCCAAAAAAGGAATCACTGAGCATTACTGTTGTGGAAGAAACAGTAAAGCTAGTAGATCTGTAGATGATATAGACCTGTAGATCCAATCATATGCATGACACAGCAACTCATGAATAAACTACACATGCAAAGACCCACTAACCCTGATTAACTGCATCTAATCTAAGTTAAGAAAGCTAGGTAGAACAAGTCAGGAATATTATTCTCCGCAGCTCAAGGCTTTAGCGGATCATCTGTCTTTTTGATGATTGTGAGCTGATGCCCATGCAATTACCTCCTTTATTCTTGATCACTATATCTTTCTAAGATTCCCTAGAGAACAACTGATGGATTCTCTTTTGCTCCCATGTAACATCTTTTCATCCAGCTACAATATATGATTCTGCCGCCACGGAGTTTGGTGAAACCCACTGATATAAACTAAGCACACAACAAACCTTTTTTTTGCTTCACCTTCCTTGCACCTTTGATGCATGAATTCAACAAAAACCATCCCAGTTGCATCTGATGAAGTCTTGTCATTTGATGAAGACAATCCAAACTGATTCTTGTCATATCTGAGTAGGATAAATGCCTCAAGTTTGATAATGAGCACATACCCAAGTAAGCATATCTTAACTTGGTTTAAGCTTTAGGTTTCTTCTAGCTGACTCTGATACAAGTCATTCCTGAGCCTAAATTGAGTTATTTAAGATTGAAGTGAAGTAATTTGAGAATATATTGGTGACAAGTAGTTCCAGAATGCATAAGTTGCTCATCCATCCTTATTTAGAATTGGAAGTGGGACAGGAATCAGAAGATTTAGAATAGAAAGTTCGTTGGTGACACTTTGGTGACTCATTCAACAAATGCTCATCCTTATTCCCATGTTTTCTTTCTAAAAGGTACACGAGACTCCCACCAATTTTAGCATAAATTGGTCTAAAAAGTAGAGAAGATTGATCTACTTCCTTGGTTTATGTTTTAGCATAAATTAAATTCTCAATGCTCATCAATATGTGATTCAATTGTTCAGTTTTCTTCCCATTCCAAAGTTGCTTGGAAGAGTACGAAGAACTTCTCTATTAAGTGATCTAGAAAATCAAGAAAACCTTCTAAAATTAAAGAATAATTTTAAAAACTCACAAAAGTTTTTTTTTATTTTTTTTAAATAAGTATATAAATAATATCTAACACTTAATAGAAGTAAAGATATATAATATATTTTTATAAATCCCAGTTGTTTAACTTTGTAACTTTCTAAGATAGAAGCTTCTGCAGCTAACTTGTTTGGTCCTTCTATAAACAGGACTTCGGTAACACAGAGTCCTACAGGAATGACTCTAATTAATCATATTTATTTTCTTTTTTATGTAGTTTTTAAAATTATGGTTTTATTAAATTTAATTGATTTGGAAATATAGAATCATTCTATAGAGAGGATTTGGTAATATGGAGTTCTGCTATAGAAAGGACTTTAATTATTCATGACTAATTCTATTTTTATTTATTTTATTATTTTTGAAAACCATCATATTAGATGCCTAAATGTGATACCTGATAAAACTAATGTTCTATAATTTTCCATAAGTATCTGAACAGTTAGATTGCAAAGTGTTAGCTTGGATTTTTTTAAAAATATTAGCATGTGTTGATAATTATTAAAAAAATATGATAAATAGATAAATAATCATATATAAAAAAATTGCAACAAGAACACAAGTAATATTAGGTCAGGCCATGCTCAAGAATGCCTCTCCAACCACACTCTCAATATTAATTTTGAAGGTCATCATGCTATACCTTCACTTTCTTCCTTGTGTTTTCAAAATATATTTTACTTTTCATTAGTCTGTGATTGGCTTATATTGCTAAAGTATTGTGTATTTTTTCCTTTTACTTTACCTTATAAAGAAATAATCTCTGTGTACACTAACCCTCCTCGGACCCCGCATTGATGGGATGCTCACTTCATACTCTATGCAGAAATAATCTATTTTCCATTTGTGAACTTAATATATATTGAGAGAGCAATCCAACACATTCAACAACTTGTTTTATGGTTCATAAATTACTTCTAGCTCTAGAGTTAATACATCTCAGTTAGGTGGATTACCAGAGAATATGTTTGACCGAAAGCTTGTTCAAGCCATTCTTTACTTCCACAGATCTCAGATGTCTCTGATGGTACATAAACCTGCAATCCATTTCTTTTTTGTTAAAATTTGAACTATATTGACCAAAAAAAACAAGTTGTTAATTGTATAGCAGTTACCTTGGAAGCTGACATATAATTCTCTTTCTATTAGATTGACAGTTGGTAATGTTTGGCCTTGAATGGAAAATGGGAAACATAGATCACCTGCCATTGCATATTGAACAAGGATGAAGTGACAACAATCATAAATAACATGTGACTCAAGAATATATTCAAAGATTTTAAATGAGCTTGATATATCAAGTCCATTCCTTGAAAAATTTGTTGACCATCCAACATTTATTTGCTCGTAAGCAGTTAAACGACCTGAGAACAAACCAGATGATTATCCAGCTTAAGAAAATGCAAGTTCAAAGGAGCTTCCATTGGCAGAGAGAATATAGAGAATGTATGCAAAAAGAGCATTTCGAACTGGTACTGGTGGCATGCCCACAGTTTTCAAGCACCTCAGAATGGCCAAACCATGATCTTTTTCCTTTAATGGATTTCATCTCTCTCTCTTGTGTGTGGTTGATTTCAGATATACTTTTACGTCTGAGAATACTAACATGTAGAAACTTTTGCATAATTCTTCTCCTAAGAGAAAGCGACAGTTTTACACGATTTATTTAGAAATGGTGAATGCATTCCCCAAAACAAAATAAGATATCACATAATGTCCACCCCAAATCAGAAAAGATACAACCCACCTCTCATCCTAAGCTTTTTTACACTGTCCTACACCCACATGACACTTCTTAAAAGGATCTTTCCAAGAGTGTAAAATGAATAGGGATTTCTGTATACAATTTTTTCTCAACTTACACTGTTGTTCGGAAAGAATTGATCATTCTCCTTGTGTACTCATACAGTTTACAGTCACTAACCCAAGCCCAAAAAACATGTTCATGTTCTGAGAACCACAATCCTGCAAGAAAAGCATCTTCCCGCCCTGGTTCACTCATGATCTCTTTTTAGTCACAATTCAACATTGCTGCATAGATTCATCCTCTTTACTACACCATTAAATGGAATGTCATGCTTGACCTGAAGTCATTTGCCATGGTCTCAAACTATAAAACACTTGGTAGGTCGAAAGAATCCCCCCCAAAGCAAAAGCTATCAGATTCTTACTTGCCAAAGGAGCTCACTCCCCTTTATTTGAGACCAGGGACGACCGTCATGGCCGGGTGGATCCCCGAGGAGCCATTTAAAGGTATTTAAAGGCAGGCAGACAAAAGGCAATCCACCTCCTCTCCATTGGCATCATCTCTCACTCCCCTTCAAGAGTATCCAGATCTGGAGAATAACTCTGCCAGATGATTTTATTCACAATGGTGTCATGCCCCATCCCCACTCCCATTATCCCTTGTGGAGGCCCATGGGGTGGATCCTCTTAAAATAATTGCATCCACAGCTATCCATATAAATGGATAGATTATAATTTGATTATAACCAGATTCTTGGACCATTACTAGGCTCCTCCTATATAAATGGATCATCACCCTGCCACTGCCAAGGCCCAACTGAGCTCCCCAGCTAGTTCAACAACACTCGCTCTCTTGTTGCAACCGTGGTGGTAGTTAGTCCATTCTGGTTGACCATGTCGAGGGACCCACTTGTCGTCGGCAACGTCGTAGGTGACGTGCTGGACCCATTTGTCAGGTCGGCAACGATGAGGGTGTCCTATGGCAACAAGGAGCTGACCAATGGGTGTGAGCTCAAACCGTCAATGGTTGCGGTTGAGCCAAGAGTCGAGATCAAAGGACGCAATTCAAGGATCCTTTACACTCTTGTAAGTACCAATTGAGTTTAATCTGTGGAGTCTATCAAGATCAACAGTGAAATGTGTTAGAGTTGCATGTGTCCAATTCCAACTAAATCTAATCCAATTGGAACAACAAGCTAGAGTTAGCCCAACCCTGGTAAAGATTTAATGTTTTCTTTCTGTGGCAAGGACAGCAGTCAAAGAATCTTCATTGGAGTTTGCAATCACTGTTCAGGCCTTTTCTTCTTTGGATTGATAAGTCTGTTTGACTTTATCAGTCCATGGGAATAAATCCTCACTTTTTCAACTTTGTTGGCTAAAAGACCAAGGACAAGACAACGGCCAGAGACACAGAAAGCATATCAACTTATAAGTAGAAAAGGGAAATCTTGGTTCTAGGAAACACCTATCAGCAACCCTAATTCTTTACCATGGTCAATCCATGTGGGTTGATAATGAACAGAATCCAATCTAACCAAGAATAGTTGGTAATGTCTGCTTCACTAGTAGTAGAAGGATGAGTTTTGCTACATGATCGCTTCTTCTTCATGTCAGTATCACATTACATTGAGTTAGCAGATCCTAAGATCAAGTACAACATTACTTTTCTGATGTATCTTGTCATAAACAGTCTTGCTATTTCCTAACGATCATGATATAATAAGGTGATGGTGGACCCTGATGCACCAAGCCCTAGCAATCCAACAAAAAGAGAGTACCTGCACTGGTAAGATAAACATGTTACGATTGCAAGTAATTCTCTCATATAAATATGGTGAGAATTAGGATATAATAATCATTCTTTTGTTGTCTGCTAGGTTGGTGACAGATATCCCAGAAACATCAAATGCAAGCTATGGTGAGTGAGAAAACCACCATAAACTTTTTCATTAACAAATAAGCATTAACACAAACCTCATAACTCGGTCATATTTTTTTCTAGAGAAAACGCAATGCTCACTACTCACAATATGACATGTAATACGGGAGTTATTTTAATTAAATGGCTCATTAATAAAATGGCTAGTTTATTATTTGCAAATATAAGCATTAATTTGCAAAGTAAGATGCTCTACCTTGAAATAGAATAATGGCTGATCTTTTAAGATCAACCCACTCAAAAGCTACACTAATGATCTTATGCCATATTGAGTTCATTTACACCAGCATTGTGTTTAAAAGATAATCGCAAATCATGTTTCAATTTTCGAATAAATTTCTTTATAAGGTTTAGAGGTTCTGTCAAAACTAATATAATAATGCTGAAGCTCCAAGTGACATTAATACCCTTCAAAATTATTTCATATATTCCAAAAATAAGTAGCTTCTTAAAGAAAGTATCAAAAGATATTTAAGCTACTTCAAAATTCAATATTTAAAAAAAATATCTTTCTTCAACTGGTGTTAACGGCAGTTGCATATATGATTTTTTTAATATTTTAAGTAATAAATAATATAATACATGCAATGTCCAAATATTTGGAAGGATATGTACACTATGTTAAGTATAAAGCTCTATGAGGGTATAACTTCTACAAGTAAAAACTGCAATGAATTCTGACCATGTGTTTTAGGCAACGAGATTGTCTCCTATGAGAGCCCACGGCCAACTGCTGGGATCCATCGCTTCGTGTTCATTCTGTTCCGGCAATCTGTCTGCCAAACCATGTATGCACCTGGATGGAGACAGAACTTCAACACGCGGGATTTTGCAGCAGCTTTTAACCTTGGGGATCCTGTAGCTGCAATGTTCTTCAACTGCCAGAGGGAGAATGGATGTGGTGGAAGAAGGTATATCAGATAAACAAATATATATATATATATATATATATAACACCTGCCTAAACTTCCAAGGAATCATCATTTGGAACTGCACATTGTTTTTGGGGATCTGAAAGGATCTTGATGATACCAAATACCAATTGACATATCCCAGATCGCTTGATGGTAATTCAGTTATTAGCACCTCTTTACTGGCCTGAACAATTTCTAGGTCACTTCAGCCCTTCCTGTCATGAAGTCATGTAGAGAGACCAGCACAGTAGTTAGAAAATTGAATAAAGCCTAGTTCTGTTAGGATCGTTAATGGCACCGATTTATTGGTCAGTTCAACCCTTCAATCACAACCTTCATTTCTTCTGTCACAATCACAAATGCTCTCATAATACAATCTCCTAAAATACATCCTAAATGAGCTTTTACTTGCATTTGATTTTGTTCATACTTAAGTTCCTTAAATTTGAAAGCCACAAATGTTTCCTCTACAAATACTTCTGTAAAATAGAATTAGTTCTAAAATTAAGAGAAATTAGCTGAGCTCTGATCTGTAATTGTTCAACTTAATCTAGAAGGAAGAAAAAGAAAATTTAATCCAGAAGCACTGAGACATTGGCAAAACATACAAATTAATGTCAACTCCATTTATCAGAGTCCTATAAAGAAAAAGATATCAAAAAGCAAACTGACCTTTTGGAGTGTTTGTATTAAGAAATAACACAAAAAATCATTAAAAATCCATACAGGGGCTCATAAACCTTATCTTGCTTGAAAGGTACCAAGCCGTCAGCGGATGGATGTGATGGTCTTCTTTAAACTGCAACGGTTATGGAGTTACTCAATTCTGATTAAGAGAGACCTATGCTGCACCATGCAAAAAGTTGAAATTAGTGATGACATATTATCCTACGCATGATAAGATGTGTAATGTGAAGCTTTCCTACCTACTTCGTGTGTACATCATAAACTTTGTGTGTGCAAATTGATGGTGAAGTCCCATGATTATTTTAAGCACAATATTATTTCTCGTAGACAAAAATCATTCCATCTATTTTTTAAGTCCAATCATTTATCAAAAAAACATAGCATTAGCATCTGAAATTGCATGAGAACCAGAATTGTTGTTCTGAAAGTCATTTATCAATAGAGTTCCACTGCAACAGTCTCATCTTAACTATGCAAACTTTCTGTACATTTCTCTTCATGATCCAACGCTCATATGCATCAAGAATGGCTAGCCTAACAACTCCCTTATAAAAAATTTGCACCAAGTAATTACATAAAATTCTTGAGCTCCACTTTACTTTAGCCATTCATTGCTTCTTCTGGATGCTTGCATTGCACTATCCCACTTATAAAACTAGTCCATGGGACTATGCCTCTCAGAAAACTCATAAAAACTCTTGCACCTCAAGCACATGCCCAGAATGCTAACCAATGTCCCACAGATGTCAAGGATGCTAACCAGAGTCACATCGTCCTGCTCCACGTCCTTCAAAGCTATCAATTCCAGTGGCATACCAAATAACCCACCTTTCATATACCCCGAGACCAACCGACCCAGGAGACCACGTCTCTGATGAGCATTTCATCAAACAGAAGCCCTGCTTCGATGTATTCCCCACGGACCATACGCACATGAACAAGCATTCTACATAAAGAGAACAAAACCGGGAAGGCGTATCTGTCAGGAAAAGCACCATCAAAATCAACCACCATAAGCTTATGCACGACTAAGACCAAATTGGAACGCGTGCTCTGTGCATCGAAGAGGTGATGGTGTTGATCACTTTGGACGCGGTGGATCTGCTTAACGGCTTGAAAGGCGATGGGAGAAGCAACAGAGACAAGCAGAAGCACGGCGGCCTCGGCAGCAAGGAAGGAATAGCTGGTGACGCCGGAGACGAGGAGAGTGGATGTGGTCCAAGGATCGGGTGCACTCGGGTCAGCGGTTAGCGGGCGGAGGAGGCCGAGGACGGTGATGTCAAGAGGGTGGGCAGAGGCAACGGTCGAATGAAGGCACCGTTTAAACGGTTAAATATACACAACCAAAATTGATCCTTAAATCTTTAATTTATATTACGCATTTATTATTATTATTATTGTTATCTAAACACTGTAACGATTAATATAAAATTTTATAAAAATATAAGATTTCATGAAGACAAATAAATCTTATATCTTTTAATTATAAGATTAGATACAGTATATGATTTCATGAACGAGCATTTTATTATAAGCGTTAGAACATATAAATTGAAAATTTACTAATATAATTAAATAGTAGATTAATAATAGTATATTTCATCGTTGTCGATGAAATTGATAGAAAATAACATAATAGAATTATTTTCTTAATTAAAATATTTGCTCATTTAAGGTAAAATAATAAGTTACATATGAATCAAAGATCTAACTTAATTGATAAACATCTTGATAGTTCATAGTATATTTCCAGAAGATATAGTATATTGACACTGAAGGAATCCAAAGGTAAGATAAGGTAGGAAGCCTATACCATATCAATTTCCAAAGAATAAACTGCAAGGACATGTTTTCAAGTTCCTGATTTTGAACATATATTCATAAAACTCCAAATTTGAAAGGTTATATAAGAAAATGAAACATAAATTTGGAGGCATAAATAGCAAAATCATTGACTTCACAGAAATATAGAGGTGACTGTCATGACTTCCATGATTGCTCTGTTCAAAATACTTGTTTCTCTAATGTTACATATTGGATGAGACACCACATGATAAATCATCAAACAGACTCTATGATGATGGAAACAAACAAACGATATCATTCCTTTTACAGGAGAAAGTCCCTGGGATCAGCAACATATCCTGTCAAAGCTGAAGCAGCTGCAGTATATGGTGAAGCCAAATATATTTGGCCTTCTCTGTGACCCATTCTGCCAGGAAAGTTCCTGTTTGTGGTGGAAACACACACCTGCAAGAGACAAAAGAGCAATTGGATCATAGACCGAGATGCAATCAAGATCTGATCAAACAAACCCAATGATTTCTAAGAGGAGACCGATATGCAGCATGAAACCGCTGTAACTTGCCTGTGGCTCGTTCATCCGCGCATAAGTGTCGTGAGGGCCGCCCAAGCAAGCCCCACAACTAGGGCTAGCTGGAACATCACAACCAGCCTCCTCGAATATCTGAGAACAGGTCTTCCCACCTGATCCTGGTACCAGGAGGCTATATATATCCATCCATACCTACAGAAGTTGATGATGAACTCATTGATTTGTAGGTAGTTTACACAGATTCAATCTGACATCATGTTTTGCTACTACCTTTTGTGTGGCAGGAACAAGAAAAGTGGGAACTTTAACCTTTTTCCCCTGGTCATAAACAACAGAATCATCACTTGTGCAAATCAGCTATAAATGTTACAGATAAAATAATCATGACAAAATGCATGGACAATCTTCAAACTTCAGGAGACAGGTTCTAATATGCTCCCTCGGCTAATCTGATGTTTCAGATAAACAAAGAAAATTCGAACTACAAGAAAAGTGATCCAAAATGAACTCGAAATATGTATGGACAGACAACATGCATAGGACATGACAGAATGCTACAGAAACTAGTAATTGCTTATTTTCAATTTTCTATGATATTAGGCCATCTAAGATCATTATATATAAAACTTATAACAACCAATCATATGAGTAGAATACAATCATAAATGTACTCCAAAGTCCAAACACAAATATTGATGCTAATTTTTTATGGTGATCATGGTTAGTGCTTCAGAAAGTAGTTTATACAAGGAATATATATCGCATGTTTGCTATGTTTTGGAATCATTGAAGTCAAATAGATCAGAGACAGGAATTGATTTTTCAAAGGTTTGTACATCTAGAGTCTAAAGAAATGCCATGAAGGTCCTGACTTGGTTGTTGTTGAAACTGATAACAATTTGATATTCTATATATCGTGAAACAAAATTCTACTGTTGTTCCGAACCTATGGTTTATTATGTTTCAACATGCATCAATAATCCATAGCAAGTCCAGACTCCCACTCATGCTTCTTGTTAAGGACAAGATATCCATTCCCTGAAGATAAGATAAGATCTAGGTCAAAGCTTGCCCTTCGAATAGATACCTACAAGTCTAATACAATCACATTTAAATTATCTTCCCTTGAATTTAATAGAATAGTTGTTTGTAGCAGTGTCTGCCATACCGAATCGTACCGCCCGGTATGGATGGTACGTACCGGTCCGACAGGCCAGCGGTACGTGGACCGCCCGGTACCGGTACGCACTGTAGCAGTGCACTGTTGCAGTACACTGCACTGTAGCACTGCGCTGTAGCACTGCTACAGTGCTCGGTACACATGGGTGTACCGCTCAGTATACCGTACCATACCGGTACCGAGCCCAGATCGAAATACCGATACGGCACGGTATTACGAACCTTGGTTTGTAGTAAACTAAATTAAACACAAGTTTTACTAGATACTCTGGAACATTATACAACATCTCGGCTGTTAATAGTAAACTACCATCCCAGTCATCCCTTTTTAAGAATACTGTTTAAGTGCAGAATTCTCATACTGTGGGCTATCCAACACATTGATGACGTGATCATAACAAAATGTTTTTCTTTCTCAATTTTTTAGTTTACCCCTTTGTTTACTTTTTGACAAGGTAATAGGAGAAGGCAGGATTTAATCCCAGACCTTGCTATCAGAACTAAGGCCTTTACCAACAAAACTAACTAGCAATCATACTCTCTCAGTTTTTTGGTTAAACTGTTTGGTAGGGACTAATCAGTATTGGCGAGTCGAACAAAACTGGCAAATTTGTGACTCACTAGTCCTGGATCTATTATAAAGGAGTGGCATCCACAAAACTTCTCTTAGCAAAACAAACATACATGTTCAACTCTAAAATCTGGCCACTTCTTGGATACAGAAGATAAATGAGACTCATTTTATGCGTAAGCCACAAGGAAATCTGCTTTGAGGATTCAAGTATCTTCCCTACCGAAGACCAGTCCATTGTCACACAAGCATAATAACATCATGAGCTAATTACAGATACCCTCTTTAGTTAGCTATCTTTAACATACCGGTCCCTACACTTTAAAAGATTATATTGGCATCCCTATAGTTACAAATGTGAAACATCTAAATCCATTTATCCTAACGTCATCGGTTTTACCAACGAAAACAAAAAAACAAAGGGTAAAAAGATAATTTTAACATTCTAGTTGGTGGTGGTGGATGACGGTACTGTTGGGGGCCGCGGGTGATTGTTGTGAATAAGGAAAGCGACGACAAGAGGTGAATCTAGATGTTTCACTTTCGTAACTATAAGGATGCCAATGTAACTTTTTAAAATGTAGGGGCCGAGATGCTAAAGGTAGCTAACTACAGGGGTAATCTGTAATTAGCCCTAACATCATACGGTACAGTATACTAATACTTCAGTATCATCAGCATACCATGTACCCATATGAGGTCAGATCAACAAGTACCAGTTTGTAAGGTCGGTACCATTTGGTACTTGAATCCTCGATCTGCATAAGCTTGGGAGTTTCAAATCAAAATTATAAGACATCAAGAAAGAGCTTACTTGCAAGATATCAACGCAAAACATGAGCGAATTTCAGGTTACTATTGAGCACGTCTTAATATGCATTGTGATATAATCAGTCATGTAACTAAATTTATAAATCAACTGCTGGAAGCAGAATGCAGAATCAATTGTGCAAATCTGAATGAACTACAGCATTGTCTAATCATCCTTTTCAGCAGACAGAAGATATCCTTCAAGACAAACTAAAATCAATAACAGAAAATGAAAAAGACACAAAGCCTCTTACCGAAGCTAGGAACACCTTTGCAGCAGCAAAAAAATCCTCCGTCTTTCCGCCAGTACAAGAGCCTATGTAGACCCTGTCAATTTTGACATCCTTGCACTCTCTTGCTAGAGCACGATTATCAGGAGAATGTGGCTGGATATTAGAACAGGGAGTCAAGGAAACTAGTTAGCATGACAGTACTCGAGGATAAAAATTATGCTTCATGTTGTTGAAGGTGGGACTCTTAAATGTAAAATAACCACGAGAATCAAAAAGAATGACTCAGTAAAATGTTTACACACCTTTGCAACCAGTGGTTCCAACTTGGACACATCAATTCTATATTCTTGAATAAATCTGCAAGATAGATTATAATTTAATAAACAAATAAGATCTTGGAGATTGACCGAACGAAAGTTATTTGTCTTAATTAGCCTGACAGGATTATTTTAATAAACAAATAAGATCTTGGAGAGTGAAGAATGGGCACAATTATGACAAGTGAATTTTTGAGGAACAAAAACTCAAATTCAAACAATAAAAGGATAAAACTGGCAACTGATGTAAGATTGTCTGCTTGGAAGGAAGATGCATGGTAGTCTTCTAGAACAAAACAAAACATGCAGGGACCTACTCAAATTCATAACTCTCTCCAAGTCCCATGACTTCCAACACCTTAATTACTTGTAAATGACTAATGAGGTTGAGAAAAAAAAGTCTACGATAAAATTCTTGGGCACTATATTATTAATGCCTTATCCCATTAGATGCTTTAGGAAAAATGGTATCAGTAGATCAAAGTATACATCTCTAACTCTAATTATAAATTACAATCGTCATTAATAGTTCTTGGGGATAATTTTGTTTGGTTATCAGAATCATTTACCAATTGAAAGCAGCATCAGAATTAAGTTAAAAAGAAGCCATAAACAGGATTCTTTCAAGATGAATGACACACCGATGGAACCTCTATGGAAGGAGGAAAATTCCACAGAGTTAAATTCACAATTACCTGGCATTATCATCACTATACACTGGCTCAAAATTCTTGGAAGTTTTATCCTGAAACAGGTAAAGGTAATGCAATATTTATATCAAGCAAACAGCTCACATAATTGCACAAACTATGGAGGCTTGTTCAAATGTATATCTATCTTTAAAAACATAGAACTATAAGAAC